CACTGCTCATTGCAGCAATATTGTTCTCCATATGCTCTTCTCATCAGCATCTCATCGTTATTGGATAAATATGTCTCTCATTATGCAGAACATTATTTTTGAAGTATGGAATCATTATTTTGTTACATAATTTCCAAATTTGGACCTTTGCAAAGATTTATAACAATCTTCAAGAATTACTGTAATTAAAGGAGAACTTTCTACAAAGAGAATTAATTAGATCAAAGAAGCATTTAAATGTAAATCATTAATCTGTACATTACAGGAAATAGTGTCTATGTATAGTTCATTTAATTATACTTGGTTCAATTTTGTTTTCTCATTACATCACAATTTATTCAGAATTAATTTGCAATTTCTTGTCTAGTGTGTTTTCTATTTTCTTAATATAGCAGATATTTTCACTAGCATGTATTTATATATAAATAAAGATTTATTAATGACTGCAGCGTTAATTAAACTGTGGGCTCTGCTGTCAATTAGCTGTGAATTTTTTTGCTCTGTGGATGCAGCTCAGAAGGTCTGTGCTCTGAAAATGAGAGGTAGAGTATCAAGGTTTTGAATATATGAATTTATATAGTAGATTGGGGCTTGCTGTCACTTGCTGCACATGACACAGAGGACAACATGGTTTTGCTTCCCTTATGAAGAAAAGTAAATTATGTCCTCTAAGTCTATAGCTAGTCGTTGATAATGGAAATGGGAATCTCCCGAGCTGCAATAGGTTGGTAGCTGAAGGAAAGAAAGTCTAGGTGTTGTGTCAGGTTTTAGGATGCAGGGGTTTTGCATAAGTGGTTTGCAGGTTTTGTAATCTTTATGTAATGTCTTCATATAATGTGAGGGTAGGAATAGATTTATTTTCTGTGATTTGGTCCAGATTATATATAAAATTACTGTAGAATGCCATGTTGATTTTTTGAAGTTGTGTTTTTAATACTTTGATAGTATATTAATATCTATATTCCCTTACCTGTTTTCAGCAGCACTAAAACACTGGAATTTTAATATTTCACTGATATTTTTATTTTACACTGCTGAAAGTGCGTACATATTTTACTTAAATTTTTAGTAGTAGATTAAAATAAGCTAGTCTGGGGCTTCCCCTCTCCCCCCTGCCCCTACCTTTAATCAAAAGAATCTTCATTCTGATTTTCATTCTGCAGCCAAATGTACTTTTGCCTCAGACTATCCAGTAATAGCAGCATCTGTGATAAGTTTGGACTCAGCTAATCTTTTGGAATCTTTGAATACTGAGTTTTAAGCCAAAGCAGAGCTATTCAAGAGCACATCTGGCTTGCATAGTATTACCTCATTTGTATAAGGTAGTGCTCCCAGTTTCTCTTCATTGCTTGATTTTCTGTTTGCTGGAAAGGGGAATTTGATACAGAGGCTGTGCTGGCAGCAGAAAAAGTTGAAGGAACTTGAGTGTTTTCTTTCTTCCTGTGCTGAAATTCAGATTAGAAGTCATGGTTTTGGTACATAGCCAGTTATAGTAAATAAACTAATCAAATAAGAATAAGAAATTCTCAGCCAGCTGCGTGCTTGATAAATGTTTAGGCACTAGCAGCTATTCTGTCAGGTTTGCTGCATGCAAAGGTAGAGTAATATTTATGTTGGTAAATTTCTTAAGATTACTGTTATTTCTTTCAATAAGTGAAATTACCTCTGCCTAGGAGGATTGTTGTGCTACTTACAACAAATGAAATGCTGTCAGAGTTCATGTGGATAAGCAGCTGTTTGCTGAGGAAGGCAAAACAACTTATTGGTTTGCACAGAGAGAGGAATGTTGTTTTCTGCCTTGTAATTTAGGTATTTTCAAGCTGCACTAGATGGAAGGAGATAAATCTTAATAATACTCTCATCTGGGGAGTTTGTAAGAAATGGGATTTGTAATGTGTTTGCTTTGCTTCTATTGACACCTGTAAGAGAACAGTATGAGAAGAATAGTATTTTGTTCTCAGTGTTTGTTATTAAATGTGTTGTATGCATGTGGAAATAAAGACATTTGGAAATGGGCAACCTTCAGTTAATTAAATCCATCTGCTCTCTGACTAATGATGGTAATATTGTATCCAGGGAATGTCTTACACTGGAAGATTTGATGAAACACACAAAGTTTTCTAATAAAGCACTCTTAAAGCCATCAAGAACTCATGGAACTGGAGAGAAAACCAGTTACTCCTAGAGAGTAACTCGGTATTATAAGGCTATGCTCCATGTGTGCAGGAATGTCCCAGAAGAATATAAGAACCACATTTGTTGTTCCCTGAGATTCAAAATTATAACTGGCAGGAAAAGTAAAACTTGTTTGCATCTCATGCTACATGAAGTTGTGGTTTATGGGACTAATTCAAATGTCTGTTTCCATGCTTGCAAATAGACAGGATACAAATGTTCATTAGGTAACAAGCTACGCAGGGTGCAGAAAAGAACTTTCAGAGGCATGGTGATGGCAGCTGAAGGAAGACAGACTTTTGGCTAGTATTGGCTGGCAATCTGATCCTATAGAGAATAATACCTCTGTCTGAACAGCAAGTATGATAGTTACTTTTTCATTTACACTGCTCTAAGTAATATCATGAGGGGAGAAAAAAAATATTGCAACTTACTACATGCATTACTCTTTGTATTGGTCATAGGTGCTCTTTCATAGTGTTTGAGCAATGATTTTTGTAGCTCTAAGTTAGGTTTTGATAACTTCCTAATTCATAGTTTCTGGAAAAGAAAACTGAACACATAGATCGAGTTTATTTAAATAATTATTTTACAAATTTGCACTTCATGTCCTCAAACACTTGTACAAAACAGAGTGGGAGTGGGTGGGGGGCAAACCTGAGACATTTGTGGAGACCTGAGTGCTTTTAAAGCAAGGCAAATATTATGAGTGTTATGAAGAATATTATGAAGAATAGTTTATTCCACACTGAGTTGACAGATGGGTAAAGCAAAACGGAGAGATTAACATTGTTGTTCAATTTAATGTTTGAAGCATACGAAAAAGAATGGCTTAGGAGAATTGAACATGGAGGATGGGTTTGTGTGATCTACACTGGAGGAACTTGTTCAGGCTTCCTTCTTAGCAAGTTGAAGTCACTCTAGTATGTGATTTATCTCAGCTTAAAGCAGTTATTTAAAATAGGTCAGATGAATCCCTCTTTGAAACGTCTGTTTTTCTGCTCTGCATTTAAAGTAACCGTCTCAGATATGGACAGCTGAAGTTTGATTAAATGAACGCCTTTCTCACTGTCACATTTTAAGACTCCAGTTAATTATTGCTTTTTGTAAATGCTAAAGACTATTTTTTAAATAACACATTTTGCAAAGTATTTTTTTATCCAGTTGTGTCAGTCCGAGTGTAGAAATTTACGATGTGTTTCTAAACAAGTGTGTCACATGTTAGTACCTTGAAAATGTGGCCTGAAGCATACATCTGCCATGTATGCTTTCTAGTTCTGCTTCTCTCTCGTGCTGTTTTGGCTGGCAGGAGGTGGGAACATGCACCCCCCTCCTCACACACAGTGCAAGAGCTGAGCACGGGCTGAATGCTGTGACTTGCTTTGCTCTGCAGAGACATGTATTCACTGGAGAGCTTAGCCTTGAAAGTGCAGAATACACAAGTGAGTTTGAAAATAGTAATTGCCCTCGTTTAAAACATTTTCTATCAGGCAATTTAGATTATCAAACATTTAAGTGAAGAAAAAGAGAAAGGTTTGTACTTTTCTTATGTTCTATACTAAACTTGCTTTTACTAGTAAATATTGTAGGGTAAGCTTGGAGTTCATAGTGACTTCCTAGAAGGTGAATTAGCAGATGTATATTTTGTGGAATCACCTATAATTGCACAGTAGCCATGGTTACCAGGTTAAAGAAATCATGTCCTGATGACTAACAGAATAGATTGCAGCAGACTGGTTTGCCTTCAAGTTGCTTAGTAGCAAAATATTCAAGAATAAGTTTGTGAGGTCTGAGAACATATGAGTAACAAACATAAAAGCACACTCCCTTCACTGAACTGCCGTGGAGTCTGCTTTTTCAAGTCCTTATTTTAATGCAAATCACAATTTTGTTTTTTTTTAATTTGAGGTTTACTTGTATTTAAATTGCGAATTGGGTGCCAACCACATATTTGCAACAAAGCTATTTGATTGAAGTAGTTAAAATTTTGAATGAATATTGCTAATATTTTCATTTTGATTTAGCACTGGACAAAGTTAAATGCAAACATAGATTTTTCACATTCAAGGGAAGTTGTATTCCCTTCAGTTTAAATCTAACACTTAGATTGACTTAATGGAAGTCTTTATGTTTACTTTTGGATGCTTTAGCAGTTAGAAAGAAATGACAGAAGTGTAGATGAAGTCAAGTGGACAGGACAGAACTGGGTTAAAGGGCAATTGTATGTTTACACTGCTGTTGGTGGATCCATTTCAGATGTTTCTAGTATGTATAGAATCATAGAATCATTTAGGTTGAAAAAGACCTCAAAGATCATCTAGTTCAACCATTAATATATTTCTTGGAAGCATCAAAAGTACTTGACTACATTTCCAAAAGGGAGTGCAGATGTTGAAGAGCTCAAATCATGTTGATATCAATGTGAAGGACAAGAGATTTAATGTTTTAAGTTTCCACGTGGTTTAGAAACCCAAACTCCATTGGGTTTTGTTAGATTTAAGGCCCAATGTGTTATTGTCCCTTTATGAATTATGAACTATGTATTCTGTATTTAACTTGCACATAAGTGCTATAATGTCTGTGTATTGCTATGTAGAATAAGATGTTTTGGCAACATGTTTTTTCCCAGTAGTATGGATGCATTTAGACCTGGTCTTTTGTACCAAGGAAGCTTTCCTAGGGATCCTGGTTGGGCCTGTGTGATAGGCACTTAAGTTTTAAAGGATGTTAAGACTAAAACTATCTGATCTTTGTTTTGTATGCCTAGCTTGCAAATTCACAGCTCTGAGATTGTACTCAGTAGGTCTGCTCACCCTGTCTTGCAGAATAACCAACCATGACTACAGAATCGGGATCAGACTCCGAGTCCAAGGATAAAGAGCAGGATCAGGAGGAGAGCCGTGCTCAGGAAGGGGCGGCAGAGACCCAGCCACAGGACCAGCAGCAGCAGCAGCAGCCACAGCAGCAGCAGCCGAGTGAAGAACAACAAACCGAGCTCGAGCAGTTCTCGGCCGTGGCAGCACACAGCACGCCAGTGAGGAAGGAGCAGGTAAGGCAACCCCTGTACACACCTCCCTGCACTGTCTGCCCACCTACAGCTCCCAGGAAATAACCATCCTGGCGTGTTAGGAGTGCAGATATATATTCAGGTACGCATGGAAGGGTGTTTGATGGGATGCTGTAGATCTGGGTTGGCTGGTCTTTAACGTTTAAAGAAAAATGGTTCTCATACAGAATGTTTTCAAATTCTCGGCAGGTGTTTCTGCCCACAGTGCTAAAATAGGAGGGCAGTCTCATTAACTAAGCAGGAAACAGCTTCGACCTTGCCATTTGCATTAGATAGCAAACAGTGTCAGTTTTTATGAAGCTGAAAATGTTTTCAGAGTTCATTTCTTTTGACACCTGCTGAACACTGATTTCATGCTTGCTTGTCTGATGTGTGAGCCATGAAGAATCTGTGGTCCCTTAAGTTTCTCGTGGATCTGAAATGACTGCATTATAATTACTTGAGCTATTCATATAATAGGTTTCAGAAAAGCTATTGCGTGCTTTTCCATTTAGTTCATTGTTGCACTTATTAAATTTGCGGAAGCTGCTTTCTTCTTTCCGTTAATAATTTCCAGTCAATAGGATTAACAGGCATTTTTCTTCATGGGCAAGTGACACACAATTAATGAGGTACCTGCAAATCGCTTCCCTTGGCTCCATAAGGTTATGACCCTCATCTGATCACATTTACCTTTGGAGAGTGGAATAAGCCAGTCGAGCTCCTCCTTTCCCCCATCCTTTTAAAAATTCTGGCTGCTTGAAGTGGGCTTCTATTCTTTTACTTGGTTAGGGTAGACAATGCTAGTGAAGCAATTTTGATCTCTCGAACAGATCAGAAGTTTCCTGTAATTAGTTTGGGAAAAAGAAGCAAAGCTGCTTGTCCAAAAGAGATATGTGTTGAATAAATGGGTCATTGATTAAAAGTGTAATTTTATCAGCCTTAGGCATAAGTATTATTATTTATATAGATGTTTTTTGAGACATCTTCAGTAATCTTTCCACTTCAAGTTTCTTTTCATGTTAAAAATATAAAACAAATAAACAACAGCAACAACAACAAAAAAACCCAGAATGCAAAATAAGCCCAACCCCAAAATAACCATACACATACAAAAAGCCCCAATTTAGACACCAAGCCTGTCCACATGTGTTTAGAGGTGTGAGGTGCTCTCATGTGCTGCATGATCCCTTTCTTTCCCAAGGATCACCAGTGAGCTGGTTTCTGTAAAAGGCAAGATAGAATAACTGGGTTAGTGAAAGGGATATGTGACACCTTCCTGCTGAGATTACCAGACTGAATCCAAACATCCATGCTGTAAGCAGGCTGCCAAATCCAACTGCACTGATAGGCCCAGTGTATTTCGTAGTGGCTTGTGTCTGTATCTCAGGCAGCACTAAGAGACAAAGCTGTTTGCAATGATGTCACTAAAAAGCCAAAAACTGAAGGATCTTTGTCTTTCTCTTGCTGCTCATAATTGCAGTTAGGGAGTGGATTTTTTTGCTCTTACTTGTATGAGAGAACCTTGGGAAAGAAGACTTAAGTTACCAATCCATGACAGTAACTTTTCTTTGTCATCCTATACACATAAACCCCCCCAATATTTTAATGTAGGTGAATAACATTTTCATAGTGAGATTAACAGGTATTAAAGAAATGAGTCCTTCCTATCAGGTGTAATAATGCACCCTCACTTTCTGCCTGCCTTCCTGTCTCTTTGAAAAAGAGAAGGCAGCATCACACAAGGTTGGACACCAAAGTTTCTGAGCAACTACCTAAGTAGATGGAATTAATGTGCTTTGCAACTGTGGCAATATCAGGTCATACCTCAGTGAGAAGCTGCAAAGCATCCAAGATCACTGCTGCTGAATCCCAAGACTCCAGAGGCATCCTTTGAGGGAGCCCAGCTCTAGAAGGGCTTGAACATACTGTGTCATACATTATGCTCAAAAAATGCAAACACTGAAGCAACTTTTGCTGCATTAGAATTTAGTCCACAGCAGTTAAAAAATACTGCAAAAACAGAACACAGAAACTAAAAATAAAAACAGTGCAGAAATACCTTGGAGAAGAATTTAGGAGAAAATGAAGCTATGTTTGCAGAGTAAAAAATAATTCACTGTGTACATGGCTCTTTCACTGGCCATTTTTTTCCTAGATTCCAGGATGTCAGGTTTCTTTAGGAAGAAGAGACTTAATACAGTCTGAAAGTACCCAATGCCTGAACATGTCAGCATAGTTTGGGGGAATCTTCTGTAATAGTTCTTGGCATGTTTTGTTCTCCAGACAAATGAGAGGAAAACCTTTTGTATGGTTTTAACCTAGACACGTTCCCCTGATCTTAATGTAGATGGGAACCTTAACCAAAAAAATAACCTCAGTAATATTTTTTAATATTTATAAATAAGCAAAAATCTGCAAAAATCTGATATACTGAGTGTCTTTATGAAGGAAAATAATGACTAGTCCATTTGGATTCACATAAATTGCTTGCAGGCTGAATATGGTTCTAAGGTTTACATGGACGATGGGTGTCCTTGTGAATTTTTTTCTCAAGCAGCTTTTCTGTTTTCTTGAAAGAGATTAGTTCCATGCTGGGGTATTTTGTTGGTTGGTTTTTGTGCTGGAGCACAGTGCTAACTCTCACATGAGAAATGTAATGAACCACTGGGTAAGACATTGCATTTTTTCCCCATCACTGGAATTACTTTTCTTACCCACATATGTGCACCTGCACCTTTCCTGGCAGATTTCTTTTGACAAAACATACAGAAATCACCACAGCCCCTCTGCCCACCAGCAGCAGTGCAGCTCTGCCCAGAAGCATCTTCAGTATTGTTTATTTCTCATTGCACAAGGCTGGACCACTTGCTAGCTGGCTGCAGATGTGGTAGAAGGCTAGCTGGCCTCAAGCCTTGCTGTGAGCCATGGGGGGCTCTCCCTCTTCATCACAGCTGCTGTGAGTGTTAAATGCTCAGCAAGCAGCTGACCCACTTACATACACTGTGCCTTCACCTCCCACCAGTTTTCAAGGTATGTGAGGACCTTGACATCCAGACACAGAGCTGGCATCCAGCTGCTGGAAGGAGAAATTCCTCTTGGGCTGGAGCTACGTGGGGAAGAAATGGCTGGTGCTGGGCTGCTCCTGAAGAGGAGCATTCATGGCCCAGGGGATGCAATAGATTTTCGAAGCAGCTCTTGTTTTTTTATGTTTTGAGCCCCACTTTCTTATGATTTCCTCATCCAGGAAAGCCCAGGAGGCTATTGTTGTGTCACCCTTGCAGGGAAAGGAGGGCTGTGAGGTCTTGCCACACTTCTTTGCAATTTGCTGGGCTTTGGTGGGAGCTGACACTGTAGTGATCACAGCCAGCTCCAAATTGTCCTTTCCCCCATTTTCAGAAGGCAGAGAAGAAACTTAAAGCTTGTTTTTATGAAATCACTCAGGGACAGTACCCCGTGATTTAGAAGTACACAGTTGTTTCAGGTTATATGATGCAACATTGTTCTGGTCTCAAAGCAGCTTAAAGCCTTTGGATGGATTTGCTCCATTCTCATGCAGGTTTATTATTTACAATGAATGGAAACAGACTTGCAGGATTAATTTACAATATGTTTCCACTAATGCTTGTTGCTTATTACACTGAAATAATTCAGAGCCAGAGCAGGTTGAGGTTTTTTGCCTTGTAGTGAGATAACAGAAAGATGTTTTTATTTAACTTAAGCTTTAGCTGAGGTAATACTGCACTCCTGTTGAGGTTTTGTTTGGAGTCTATCAGGGATATAACTGATGAGAAAGGTAATGACTGCAGCACAGTGCTGTTGCTAGGAAGGGTGAAATGCTGTAGAGCTCCTTCTGGCTTTCATCTAGTGCTATGGAGAGGACTGTGGGCTGTGCTGCATCACAGTAACTTCAAATGGCCTGACCCTCAGATAAACCCGAGCGAAAGCAACCTGGTCATTTCCTTCTTGCCCCTCTTCCCTGCTGTATATTTGTCTTTCAAATAGCACCTACTTCTCTCCAGCTTGAGAGACTTACTGAGCATCAGAAGAGAGCAAAATTCATCCTCTCATCCTGTCCATTTAGCCAGCTGGCTGCACATTAAAGTTGTTTGGTCCCTCGTTTCTGTCATGTTTTCTTAACCCTTTGCTTGGGTGCATGGGGAGCCTTTCACTCTCCCAGTGACATCATCATCACCTCACGAATTCACACTTTTCAGGGGGGATCCATGCTCTCATTCAGGGACAGTTTTCCCACTGACAGCAAAATTTGTGCAAAATTGATGGTGTTTTTCTATTCTGTATGACACCATGGAAACATTGTATGATTTAACAGATATGGGACTCCAAAGTAATATCAAGAAAATGTAGGAGTATCTGTTCCTCAACAAAATTTACTGATTACTCAGTATTTCCAAAATACAAAAAAAAACCAAAAACCAAAAACAAAGCAAGTACAGGAAGCCCAAGTGGGATTTTGTACCTGTGGAAAAAGTAGAAGCCTTAAAATATTTCCATGAATGCCCCTCCTTCATGAGTATTCTGTACACTTTGGAGGAAGAAGGGAGGGTTGGAAGGAATACAGGAAATCTTTTCAGTAAAGACTCTATCCTGCATCAGGGGCTTTCTTGTCCAAACCCCAAAAAAGGCTCACTTAAATGCTTGGGTGCAGCATGTACAGTGAACTGCAGGGCATGATTGGTTTATCTTACTTCAAAAAGTATCTTTCTTTCTCTTTATAGGCCACAGAGAAAGAACAGGAGTTTGCTGCTGCGAGTGCGAAACAGCTAGAATATCAGCAGCTAGAGGACGACAAGCTCTCTCAAAAATCTTCATCTAGCAAACTTTCCAAGTCTCCTCTAAAGATTGCCAAGAAACCGAAAAATATGCAATGCAAAGTGACGCTCCTGGATGGATCGGAATACGCGTGTGAAGTAGAGGTAAATGGCTTTTTGTCATCTTTTTTTTTATCCTGTCAGGAGGTAAATAGTGAAAATTGTATTTCTAATTTAAGGAAAAGGATGAATAGCATGATATTTCACCAGTGCCAAGCACAGAGATACTTTCATTGTTTTCTCTGGAGATTGTTGAAGATGGTGCCCAAATTTGAGCTAGGTGAGGGATTCTGAGCACTCCCTGAAGCCGCCAGAGACTCTGGATTAATTCTTTGTTGGTACATGCCACAGCGGAATGCAGAAAACAAAGTATGGGCAACAAAGCCCATAAACAAAGAAGGACTTTTATCTCACTGGGCTTTTCTTTTCCTTTTACTTTACCGAGTTGAGTCTTCCATTGAGTCATTGTCCATACAGTAATTCTGACAATTGTGAGGTTACTGCGGGCATGAGAGACACCCTGGGCAAGCTGGGGAAATGTCAAGTACAAACAGCAGGGAGAATGGAGAGTTTTGTGTGCTTTTCCATGATGTCTGTGAATCATAACTGTGTCTGAATATTACTGGCAAAAAGCTGCTGTGATTTTTCTGTAAGGAAGCTTGCCTTCCCTGCTGGGACTCTGACAGGAGCCTACTTTTGGGAGGGACGGTTTTTTGCTGTCACTTCAAAGCCAGTCTGTGCCTGTGGACAGACCCATGCTAAGACGATGCCTTCAGCTCCAGAAGGCCCCAGAAAAGCAAAAAGTGAGCACATTTAGCATCTCAGAGTAAGGAGATGAGAAAATGCAGCATCTCAGGGTGGACCCCTTTCTCCATTCAGTCATTGTCATCAAGGTGATTTTTGGGCAGTGGACCAGCCTGCCTTGTTTTAGGTCAGGTCATACACACAAGACAAGGCTGAACCTGACCAAGCAGAGGAAGGATGTGTCTTGGAGGACCAGGCTAAGCCAACCATCCTTTGGGTAACTGCGGGGTTCCACAGAGAAGAAAATCCACCTGGGAAGAACAGGAGAATATAAAGGCAGAGATGAAATATTCTGCAGGCTTGAAAAAGATCCACGGGAGCATGGAGAAGGAGAAAGGGTAGAGAAAAGGAGTACCTGACTGGGAGCCAAATCATGGCATCTTTACAATCATATCTCGTCCAGCCCATTTGTCCTTCAGCTGCTCTCGTTTTAAGTGCTTTGGAAAGTGGCAGGTGAGAAAAAACCTTATTGATTTTTAGTTAACCCTGGCATTACAGTTTGGGTCAAGTGTTGGCATGCTAGGAGTGAGCTGCAAACAGAAGCTGGCATTTTACTACTCTTATAGCAAATTAGCCATCCATTAGCAATTGAGTGTCTTTTAATGTCACTGACCAAGTTGTTTCCTTCAGTCTGGGACTAGCTATCTGAACACATCTTTTGTGACTGTTAAATGGTCATTTCTTGACCTGCAGTCTCAATTTTGTCACTCAAGGATAGTGTGGGAGCCATTAAGCTGGAGGAATGACTCATAGTGGCTTCGATGGAAAGAGTCAACTCATTTCAGCTTTTGCCACTTGCTTGTAAAATGTGAGTCACTTTTTGGAATGCAATCAAGCAAATCCTACCAAATAATATTTCTATGGAAATCTTGTCTAGCAGGCTGAGCTTTATCAGAATCTAACATGGAGTAGAAAGGGAGATCTGTTATGTTAGATTTCCACTTATGCAAAAAAATGCTGTGAATAATACTTTCATAGGAAGTTTCACTCTTTCACTAAACTTGAGTTCTCTTAAAGTGTCAAAATGCTGGCATATGGAAGCCATCATGTTTTATTGCTTGTCAGATTTCTCTGCTTTGCAAGTTCTGAATAGCTCTTGAATAATGTCCAATATAAGTTTTGTATGAATTTTTTCTACTTTCATTGCTGAAATATTTTCAAGTTGTATTGACTGTCATCAGTAATCATTTTATCTGCTTCTAAGATGATCAGGCTTCCCAGGCAGAATGTAATATTGATGAGAATAGAGCTCCTAAAAGGAAGAATTTTCAAATGACAAAGCTGTAAGGCTATGATGATGAGCGAACCATGGGGTGCATTGAAACAAAGTTGGTTAGGAGGAACAAATATTTCAGGGAACGAGTGCAGCTGGAGTGTGCATAAATTTGCATACCTTAAACAGTGTAATTCAGACTTTGCATCCCTCCTAGGTAGTATTATCAGTATGTTGTATGTATTGATGATACAACTGTAGATGCCTCTCCGGCACAGCCCACTCTAGCCCATGGGAATTTTTGGTAGATCTAAAGGAAGTCCTTATGTACATAAAGTTTAGCTGAAGCAAAAGGACGCTGAGTCCAGCCAAGACAAATTATGTGGCTTTCACTGTGTTTTTTCTCCACAGGAGTAAAAAAGTATTCACAAAGGGAGTTAGTAGGGCAGGGAGACTGAGGGTCTCAGAAGGCATCTCAGGAAACCATGTAGGAGGCAGGTGATGAAGTTCTACCAGAGTTTTGGGTAAGGTAATAAAGTTCTGTGTCACAGTTCTGTTACACAGAAACCCGGTGCTGCAGCATGAGAAACAATCTATCTTATTTCAGAAAAATGTTATTTAAGGATCACCTTCAAGTGAACTCACTGTATCAATTTAAATGGGGGGAAAATGTGTATATGCACAAGCATACATACATACATACAGATACATATATATGTATATATATAAAATTCTTTGTCAGAAGCACACAAAGCCATTCAGTTTTCATGGAATCACAGAATATTATGTGTTGGAAGGGACCAACAAGGATCATTAAGTCCAGCTCTTAAGTGAATGGCCAGTACAGGGTTTGAACCCACCCCCTTCGTGTTATTATCACCATGCTGTAAGCAAGTGAGCTAATCTCAGTTCTTTTATATATATATATATAAAATATATATATATATAAAGTAAATATAAAGTATACTAAGGCACCCAACAAATTAAGGAGGTCAGTAAATTCCCCAACACTAATTCTTTAAAAGATATGGGAGTGGGACAGACAACATGGCAATTAGATATTTAGTACTTCCATTCCTGTGTTCAACCCACATAACTGCATCTTTCAGAGTGGACAGTGATCCAAAGTAGGGATGTGGCAGTTTTTAGATCTGAGTCAGAAATGTCATCCTGTGTTGTCAGCTCCTTTCTTTCTGCTCCATGTGTATCATGCTTCTACCTACTGAAGGCTGCAAAGCAATGTAATCTAGAAGGACCAGAAACTCAGAAACCTAATTTTGGGCTAGAATAATAGCTCTGTCAGTGAATCTTGATTTGGATGCCAGCCAGGTATTTATCTCTCCAGAATTGCATTCCCTAGTCTGGGAGTTGGGGATCATTATAGAATCCATCAGTTACTCTATAAAGTGCTTTGCAAATGACAAATGCTTTTTATGTATGTTAAATATTAATGTAATTTAAAGGAGCTTATTGCTCTCCAGTAGAGCGCAACCTGCAGCTTATCAATTATGTGTTCATCCTGTTAATGACCTCGCAGCCAATGTGGCACGTACTCACAGATTGAGACACTTCTGAGGCAAGTTTGGTTAATCTGTTATGCCCTTGCTGTCCTTTGTTTCAGAAGCCCCTCTTTCTTATTCCATATTTAAAGCTGAGCATCTTCACTGTCTGCTGCTATATCTCTCAATCTCTCTCACATTCAGTGCTTTGCATTTGTGACAGTGGGGGTTTTTCATGTTGTATGAGATGTATGAGGGAAAGTATAGTGGAGCTAACTTCAAAGCTGAGGTTAACAGGGGGTCATCTAATGTAGTCTCCATTCAGTGAAATGATCTTTAGCAAATACCTGGTGAAAGCTTTCCCTTGAGCCCTGCAATGTTGCTGCCTGTGTGATCCGTCCATCCTGACCCAGAAAATCTTTCATGCAGTAACACATTAAAAGCCAAAACCAGGTTAAGGAGGTAACCCAACCTGTTCATTCATCCTCCTCCAAAACCATAAACCACCAGTGTTACCATCTGTACCCCCACTGCTGCTCTGGTCCTGGAGCCTGCAGATGCTACTGGCAGCCTTATTTCAGAGGAGGGGTTTCCTTTGCAATGTGCAATGGCCACCTAATGGTGCTTCCCCTCCCCAGGGAAAGCTGTTGGCTTTTGGAGAAGTCTTTGTACAGTGATGTTCTCCCTGGTACTCTGCCAAGAAAAACAGCCTCAGGGCAGCTGTTTTTCTCCCATGTCATGAAGAACCTGGAGATTTCTGAGGGGTGTTGGATCACAGGAGTTGATGCAGTCCATTCAGAGGGACACAGGATGGTGATTTCCACCTAGATGTCCACCCCTACTGGCAGCAGTTCTCCTTGGGCTGTTCGTCGTGTTTTCCCAGCCAGCATCAGGCTCAGAAATGTTGTTTGTCAAAGTGTCCAAGGCCAGAGCTGCACCCAAAACTGCACTTCAAAGTGGTAGTGGAAGATTTCTCTTTTAAGCAAGCTAGACCTATGCTTTGCATTATTTGGTTTGAAGAGCTAAGGAGGAAGTAGATCCAAGACAGCAAATTAATTTCAGATAACCTTAAAAAAGGCAATGAACACACTAGTTCAAGTTTTACCTGAGATGCAAGAAAACAAGCAAAATTAACTTATTTCTAGTTTTCTTCAGTTTTAAGTAGGAGTTTTCAAATGCTGCAGTACAATCATGTTTTTTTCTAAGATTTATTTCCCTTCTTGTCCATATCTGCCCCATCTCAATTTTCTGTTGTCTAGACCACTGCATTTTAATTAGAAGATGCAAGTGGAACAAGCTGTCATTCTCTCCATTGCACATAGCCTAATTTAAAGTGTCTTCCTAAAACAAGTTGGAATTTGTCTTTGTTTCTGCTCTAAATATATACATGCTGTCACTCACAATGTGAGGGCAGAAAGCTGTAACATAATCTGTCTAAATAAATGGTAAAATAATTAGATTTAATTTTGAAAGGCTCAGCTGTCTGAGGCCATTGGTAATTTATACTCTTTCGTCATTCCTGTACCACTCAGACTTTCTTATCATGCAGGCCACCAGTGAATGAAAACAAATGTTTCCATGGCAGCCTG